ATTAGCACAATATTTACTGTTCATGAATGTAACATCCAACAGTCCACATCAGGTATGCAAGTAGGTTGCTTAAATTTCTTCTATTAGTTTTAGATACTGAAATGTCTCTACCAACAAACAATCGTCTAAAGCAACGTGCAAAATACACATAAACCAATCCAGACGTCTCAAAATGTTATGTAGTTGCATTTTATTCAAGCTGCAGTACATAACTTTAATAAAAATATGTTTTCTCCATATTTGTTAAAGCTGTCACCATGTTGTAGCAGTTTGTTATGAGACAGATAATCTGTGAAAACAATCAATCTCCTCCATCTGCTTCCTGAATTACTATTACTGGTTAAAGTAATGAACCGTTCTGACCAAAACAACCAATCAGAACCAGGAGGAGGGTCTTAGCGCTGCCAATCAACTTTATTCACTCACTGCTAAATGTGCTAATGGTGGAGAAACAACTTATCATTATAGGAAAATGTTTATCTGCCATCATTGGTAGCTATGCTAACTAAACTCAGCATTTACAACAGGCTATGTTAGCTATGGCATAGGGATGAGCAACAACACAAGATTGTGATTGACAGCACTAAAACTCTCCTGCCACTGACTGGTTGTTTCTAACACTGGGAGAAGGCAGAGGAAACAGATTTTTCACAGATTACCTCTCATACCATACTGTCACAACATAATGACAGTTTTAACAAATTTGTGATTTTTTTTTTTTAATAAAAGTGACATACTGCAGCTTTAATTTCACTCAGGAGAGGACAGGTCAGGAGGGACGTGGGTTAGAGCTGCTGCTGACTGACTCGTCTGTTAAGTGGTTAAAGGTACAAGGGACAAGTTAAATATATGAATATGTTGGTAATTTCTTTCCTTAATTCATTAAATGCTAGTGAAATGGAGGCAAACAGTAGTCTGTAGCTAAGCTAATTATGCTGAATGGTTGATAATCTCACACAGTCTACTCACCTCTCTCGGAGAAAAACTGGGTCATAAATTAACACTCTTGCATTTTTCTCTCTCCCTTTCTCTTTTTTTTATTTGAAAACCTGATTTTATAACTTTTCTTAGCAGCATGGTATCTGCCACAGTCGTTCGTGTCTTCCACTTTCTGCAGCTCAACAGCGTCCCGGTGAAGCTCCAACAGGAACAAACTATTTAACGCAGATGGGGGGTTCAGGGCAAATATGGACATGAGTTTTCTGGTCTGGGAGTGGGAACATTCAATTTTTACTGCTAAAAACAATCTTTGAAAATACAATATGATTCATTTTGTAATTAACAGGGCCACTTTTTTTATTTTATTTCTATGAACAAAAAATAAAAAAATAAACTGTGGAGGTGTTCTGTCTCATACCTCGTTAATCCAGCAAACCTTGTGGTAATAATGCACATGTGCACATCGATGTTACGTTTCTTATAAAGCCGTCATACCTGTAGAATTTTCATTTTGTGTGTTTTATTCCTCGGGTAAATAAAAAAAAATAAAATAAGAAAAATCTAGTTATTTCCACGCAGAGTCCAGAAAGAGGTGTTGTTCTGCTGGTTGCCCAACAGCTTCGGTCAGCATCCAGCGTTATTCATGTTGTTTTAGGACATATTCGGTTCATATTCAGAGGTATTAAAATATTAAAAAGGTAGATTAGCTATAGGGACAAAATATCCCCACCAAATTTGTAGTCAAACAGTATTTGTAGTAATAGTGACGCTAAACGGGACTAATGTCTTGTTTACAGTTTGGAAACAGCAAAAGTCATTTATGTTAATATGTTTGATTAACATAGCAGCTTAATTAAATAAAATTTGCTGTAAACTTCTGAGAAACAAAACACACAAAATGAAACTTCTACAGGTATGACGGGTTTATAAGAAACCTGCTGAGTAAGCGGTATGTGACGTAACATCGATGTGCGCATGCGCATTACCGTAAGGTATGTTGGATTTACGGGTATGACAGACAGACAGAACCCCGCAGCGGGGAAACACTCTGACTTCATTAAGAGCTGAAGAGCCGCTTTCTGAACTCAGGTTGACCTTTAGGCAGCCGACAGACTCAAACCTTCAACATGATAATGTAACTAAAGCGCTTTATTTCCTCAGGAAGTCATTTCATACATCCAGAAATCACTTTCTAGCTCCTCCAGAAACTAAAAGTTCAGGATTTAAAAAGCATTATTTTCATGATTAGTAAATTAAACCTGATGTCTGAGGTGTTTCCTTAAATCAAATACTTTGCTTCTTCCTCCCGGTCTGACTGAAGCCGCTGGCAGCAAAAGGCTAACGGCTAGCCAGCTAATTTAACTGGAAGGTGTGATGCTGCAGCTCTTCACCGTTTCCTAAAAGCTGCATGTTTCAGCTGGTCTGAGTTTTACTGTGAATATTCTGTGACTCCAGGCCCTCAGCGTTTGGTTTGTCTTGACTCAGATACGATCACCCTGTGGCTCGTGTTTGCTGCCTGAGATTAAAATGACGGAGAAACTTCATGCTGGAGGTCAGCAGACAGCCAGAAGAGCCATCAGCGGATCAAAGCCGCCGCTGATCAATCTGATCAATAGTCAGTGAGGAGAGGAAGGACGCAGCCACTCTTCTTCTTCTTCTCTTTCTGGAATACTCACTTTAGTTAAGAGCATGTTGTCATGGACACAGAAATTTGAATGAGTGAAGAATCAGGTCAGAATTTTATTTTAAGAACAGGATTTTAATTTGAAGGAATTATTTAGTTTTTGGGTGGCAAAGAATTTGTTTGTGGGCAGGATTTAGTTTACTCAGAGAGCAGAACCGTTCCTCTCCGCCGTTTGGACCAATCAGAGAGCAGAACCGTTCCTCTCCGCCGTTTGGACCAATCAGAGAGCAGAACCGTTCCTCTCCGCCGTTTGGACCAATCAGAGAGCAGAACCTACCAGCACACTCAGGGTTGTCCTTGTTGAAATTCACAGCGAAGTCGTGGGAAACCTGCAGGAAACAGAAAGCTACGTTTAATCTTTGATTAAACAAGAGAGGAAGATCATCATCATCATCATCATCGTCCTCATCATCATCGTCCTCATCGGCTATGGGTTTATTGTTTCTGATCATTCAGATCTGAAGTAACAGCCTGGACCCAAAGTGGAGCAGATCAGTTTCCTGCTGATCAGAATGCATCATGGGAAGGCAACTGAGGTCAGTAGGGGGCGCTGCTTGACATGCAGCAGCAACCTCTCTAAGCAGAGTGCATGCTGGGATGGCCCGGCGGGACGTTACCTTGAAGTCTGGAGGGATCCGGGCTCCGAAGCCGAACGCTGGGAACATTTTATCACTGATGAGAGAGGAGACAGAGAAACACTCTGATTGGCTGAGAGGAGGCTACTTCCTGTTCAGGAACAGACTCTGATTGGCTGAGGGGAGGCTACTTCCTGTTCAGGACAAAAATCCATCAGAATCTGATTTAGTCACATTTCTGTTTCCAACATCTGGAGTTTCTTTTCAAGTTTCTGAGGATAAATTAAAATGAATGAAGTCAAATAATTTCCAAAACATAATAATATGAGGTCAACATCAAAGATATTTATAGTTTTTAATCTTCAACTTCTTCACAGATTGGAGCAAAGTTCATCTTTCCAGAGTTTCTCTGATCATTCATGGAGCTTCTTTAGAAATCTGGACTGTGGACGTTGACATTAGCATTAGCAGCTACATGTTAGCATTCAGATGCTACTTTAGGTTAGCATATCTTCGGTGAAAGGCTAACTCCTTTTAGCACAACTTGAACACAACATCAGTCTTCACCAGCATCCAATCAGATCAGTTAGGAGCAGAACTTAACCTGAGACAGGAAGTGACATCATCACTTTGGGCTGAAATTAACTGATAACTAAACCGTTTAAGCTAATGAGTCTTTTAGAAATTATAGAATCTGGAGGTGAAACCATCAGATTATCAGATCCCTGTCCAGAAGGGATTCTGAGAGCCCAGCCTGACGGTTTGAGACCGCAGCAGGCCGGGCGGCGCCACCGGTTCTGACCCACCTGTCGTAGTCCTGGCAGATTTCTCCCACAGCCACCAGGGCCTTCAGGTACTCGTTGGGCTGGAAGGGGTGGATGTAGTGCAGGGAGCAGCTGTTCCGGGGGTCACCGTTGGACGCCGTGAAGTCAATGGCCACCTGCAGAGGACACAGCCAATCAGAGGCTACCAACCAGGAAGACGTTTCCATGACAATCAGAAAGGAAGCGTCAGTCACAGAAGCTGAGAAAAACAGGAAGTTTCTTCTGGAGACGACAGGAAGCTGTTGCCACATAAAACAGCTGGTCCCAGTTCTGGTTCCAGTTCCAGTTCCAGTTCTGGTCCTCGTTCCGATCCTGGTCCTGGTGCCGGTTCCAGTTCTGGTTCCAGTTTCGGTTCCAGTTCCAGTTCGGGTCCTGGTTCCAGTTCCAGTTCCAGTTCTGGTCCTCGTTCCGATCCTGGTCCTGGTGCCGGTTCCAGTTCTGGTTCCAGTTCCATTTCCCGTCCAGATTACGGTTCTGGTCCTTATGGGACACCACTTGTAAAGTTACAAACTTATCACTTATGTAGCCTGAACTTCACTTTTTCACCGTGTTATTCATCCATTCATAAACATCATGTTTCAAACTAAATACTAAATTAACCAGTGAAATATTTGTGAGCTAGCTAAATGTTGAGTTTGTAATCTTATTTAGTTAGCCAGCTCAAAAGCCCGGCGCCCTGATGGCCCTGATGGCCCTGATGGCCCGGCGCCCTGACGGCCCTGATGGCCCTGACCGCCCTGATGGCCCTGATGGCCCTGACGGCCCTGATGGCCCGGCGCCCTGACGGCCCTGATGGCCCTGACGGCCCTGATGGCCCGGCGCCCTGACGGCCCTGATGGCCCTGATGGCCCTGATGGCCCGGCGCCCTGACGGCCCT